TTTATTTCATACCTTCAAGTTTTGTTTTAGATAGTTCCAAAGGTGTTCAATTCAATTTAGATCTGTTCTTTAGAATGATCAATACATGAATTTTTTTTTATTTTTCATATTTGATAATTCCATATATCTGGTGCAATAGTATCATTCAAACTATGATTAGACGAAAATCATGCATCTGAATTTAAATGAATCGCTCAAATACATTATTACTTTACTCTATGTCCTGTAATATATAGCTATTTTCGTCTAATCACTACGACAATTAATGTCCAACTGATAATAGACACTTTACGAAGTTGAAAGTTTACAAGAGCGTAGGGACAAGAAATATAATATAATTAAAAAACATTCGTGACTGAATATATTGTTTATATTGCAATTGGATCAGAGGGTATATATTGTTTATATTGCAATTGGGTCATTACTTGCCCGTTGATATTAAAAAACAAGACGAAAAAATTCATAAGAAGCAGATTTCTTTCCATTTATTGTGAATCACCATTACAACTTACGAATACGAGTGGGGTTAACTGTAACTATTAATACAGATGATAGTGCTTTTCTCCTCCCTTTCTCAAGAACCTTTTCGCCCACGACGAAGGTTGAATTGAAAAATACGGTAGTTCCATCAAAATTATAAGTCGTTCAAGGATTAATCTGCTATTGTCGCTACCCAGCTGCGGAGATTCGAGGTTGGGGATCGTGCAGCGAGTCTCGCGAAAATTCAACCGGTAAATTTAATACGGTACTTGTAGTCGGTGCTCCCGTAGTTTTGATACGAAGGAGTTAAAGAATCGTTAGGCGCGGGCGGGGATTGCAGTAAGAGTGCCGTTTCGAGGCGGCGGCTGCTGGGGCGAGAGTCGTCGGGACAAAGGGCGTGAACGAACGGGCGTCCTACTAGTCGTTTGTCATTATTATAAAGGACTCAGCAGTGAATAATTACATCTTAGGAAACTTCGTGTCGCCCGACTATACAACGTTTATACCCGGTCTCCATGCCCCTCTGACCCGGTTCGAGCAATTAACACCGGCTGAAATTGTTAATTGGAATCCGATGTTCTGTTTCGCGACGGCAAAGCGAAAAGTTCATCCCCCCACGTCGCTGGCCCGTGAAAGGAACAGTCCCGATTGACGTCCAAACGCGCCCCGGAATATCAAGCGACAACAATCGTCGAAGTGCACGCCGGAAATTTAACCAGCGCGAGCGTTTCGACAACGCAATCTTCCGTGTCAGAATTTGTTTCGCAAGTTCGACGCTCCGGAGCGCGAACGCGTCAACTATTTAACAGAGCCGGGCACAGATTTTCCATCGATATCATTTTCTTACCGCTATTTGCTCCGACAAAGCCATAATCGATCATTTTGTAACACCAAAACCGATATTACAGTGTACCAAAGTAAATACTGTTATTTCTGTATTACATTCGAGCAATGATAATTCCACGCAAAATTTGATACTTTTCGGAGTAAGTTTTCAAATTATACTCGACTCTGGATACGTTGTTACCCTTTGTTTGAACGTGTTACAAAGGATTTTTCAAAATTTTGTAAATTGTAAAGTGAGTATATTCAATTTATAATATCCACTTAAAAATTGAATTTGCTCTATTATTAAATAGGATCTTTGGATCATATAAAACTATTTCATAGGAATTTCATTGTATACCATTTTAAACTATTGCTATAATCAATTTATAATATCCACTTAAAAATTGAATTTTCTCTATTATTAAATAGGATTTTTGGATCATATAAAACTATTTCATAAGAATTTCATTACATACCATTTTAAAATATTGCTATAATCAATTTATAATATCCACTTAATTATTAGAGTACTGAATAAAAATTGTTTGAAAAAAACAACATTTGCCCTCTTGGCAGACATCTTTTCAAAAACTGGCCCTATGAAAATTAATTTGCAATTTAGGAATTCCCGGTACTCGAGGAAGTTATTAGAATCATGGCGACGAGAAGAGATTTCATTTCTATTATAAGAGACGGTTCAAAAATGCATATTCAGAACGTTTAATTTTGAATAATTTGAGGGAACTTTATTCACTTTCCAAACAGGAAAATCCGCCAATAAAAATTGAATTCGGTAAATTTGCTCAGCTTCCTCCTGAACAGCGTGTGTCAGCAGGAACTAATGAAACGCATTCCCTGTGTGTATATCTCACACATCAAAAGGTGAAGTTAATTCCTCTGAGTTCTACAAAGGGCTACAACATAATTTGAGAACTTGCTACCCTAGACTTGCTAAAGATTATGACGAATCTTCAGGCTTCCATATCGTTAAAATCTTATCGAAATCCTGGACGACGTCGACCATCTTTTCGCCATCGCATTTCACAATGAAAAGCGCGAATTCTTTGTACGTTTTTCCGTGAAAGGTAGCGCAAAATAGATCAAGTTTACGGTGGACTTTCAGACGGAATCCAGGGTACCTCGATACCGCGTCTTCGTCAACGAAATTTTCATTTCTCCAGGGTTTTTCCTGCCCGCGTCAGGGACAGAGCTGCCCTGTCCATGATGCGTTGCTCCCTTTGAGCTGCAAACTTGGAAGGTGATTATCTCGAGATGCATACATCAAGATAGGTGCATCGTCGTCTATGAGGAAGATCATATTTGAATTCGAATACGCTACGACGGAGCGCGTAGCAAGGCGGACAGGACATCCGATTTACATTAAATTTACATTGCTATAACTCGCCTTCGTGTCTGAGATTGATTCACCACGCGGCACCGGAGAAAGCTCTCCCGTCATAGAGTCTCTCTGGAATACACTTTCGTTTGATACATCCTGCTTAAAAATCGTCGATACCGTTCTCGCTCCTCCGGAATTTTTTATAATCCCTTTCTATCTAATAGCTATCGTACGCGTTCTTTTTCTTGGACATCGAATCAGGAAATTGGAGCGTAGTTATTATAAAATATTAATATTAATATTAATGTGTTTATTGGTTAACTCGATATGATTTATTTTTAAAAAATTATCGAAATACATCCGGAATCAAATTAACAGAAATGAATGCATTACATTCGCCGACGAATGTAATTAAAATTAAAATATGTTGGTTTTATTTGTATTAATTGTGTACAAAGCGCTGAGATCAAATTGAGTGATTCGAATGAATACATTGATTGAAAATAAATCACGCGACAAAGAGGAACGGTTTAATTAAATATGATACAAGTTTCAAATGGCAATCAGCGTTAACTGGAGGCTCGCGATGCTATAAGCATATGTAACGTTTTGTGTTTCGATGATCGGTCGTTCGTATAATCGACGATTCCACTGTACAATAGGGCAAATCGATAACACGAGCTTCGATAATTCCTATTTCATTTAATCCGAATCTTCTAGTAAAACGAAGCCAAAATGGTACCCGGTTGTCTGTCCGATTGGTTACATATTCATCGACTTGAAACAATCTATGCTCTGTAATCAGTCTGTCATCGAAGTTTGAACGATGCGCGGGAAGGCGGAATCAACGAAGACAGTAGTCCGAACACATTGTTTACTGGTTAATTTTGTGTGCAATTCATCGCGTCAAGTGTAGTCACATATTTGCCGGGACAAAGCGTATATTCCGTCCATTGTTTTCATCGGCCAGTCAAATTAACTCCTCGGAGCGAAGTACCCAGGTACTGCTCGCTTTGCCTTGCATTGTACTCTTTCCTCCGTCTCTCGAAAGCAAATCGAGTAGATGTAATCACGGTTCTTTTGACTCGTAGATAAAAGAAACAGCCATTACGTGATGTACGCGTGGCCAGAAAAATCCATTCTTAGTATTCCCCGTTCGCTTTGAAAATCTCTCGTACAGGGGACGCTTACGTGTCTCCACTCTGAAATATTAATTTCTCTATAGCAGTTACTAGCTACCAGATGACAGTACAATTTGTTCAAACGGAGACAGGATCGACAAATTATAAAAGAAAAAATTTTCATACATGTAACCATTTGCACAGATATATTTTGTTCCACTGGAATTTCGAAAATAATTATTTAAGCGTTTATAAAAGTCAATTAATCAACAATTTAATCTACAAAACTAATGAAACGATATATGCAATATTATAAGCAATATTAATATTTGTAATTAATTCGAATTATGCAAGTAATAAGGAGAATTTACAAATATTAAAAATAAAATTGCTATTTAGAAATAATAGCAAATATGTCTGTAGAAGTTGTTGTGGTTTTTTTTACGAAAACCATTGGAAAAACATTAATTCAATTACTATATAAGAACGTTATTCTGAGAAATATTACATAGAATGGACCCATAAGCCCCATTAGAATTGCAGAAAATGAGTAAACAATTTTTGTTTAAGCACTAACTATTTGAATTTGTATCCCCATTAGTACCAGAGACGACCACAGAGGGTTCTCTAGTAACAGGTTGCGTTAATTTGTATTAAAAGATTATCATCTAATTTGTGCCCCGTTATTCAAAAAAGAAACACCTATTGTAGTAAATAAATAAATTCAATGAAGGAAAGGAGAACAACAATAATTGGTAACGTTGTAATTCGTAATGGTGAGCGAACTCTCTGCGTGCGCAGAATCCTGTCACACGGTTCCTTCTTCTCTTCTGCGCATGCGCCGCGCCTAGGATAAGTACCGCGTCGTATTTCTTTTCTGCGACGACGTGCCTCTGAATATATTCCCGAATAATTACTTATCCTTGTGCATCGAGACTATCAAATGGACTAGATTAAGGTTTAGGAAGAAGGTTAAGAATCGCTGAGCTATTCTATTATTACAACAAGTGGAGAAGAACAGTTGAACTAAGATCAAGCGATGGTTAGCTGAATTCGAAGCAGGTTATGTACGTAATTGTTCGTTTCGCGTAGGAAAGACGTACTGTTATTATTCTAAACAGTGTTACGATAGACTGTGTGGTTACAATAGTGATTACGGGGACACGTCAAAGGGAAGATGCTCGAAACTATGTGTTCGATTGTTCTTTGACGGTTGACACGTGTGATTGCAGGTGTCCTGGGTTCGCAGACGCGGCGAAGAACTTCATTTACTCACGATCGGCCTGGACACGTACGCGAGCGACTCGAGGTTCACGCTGGCCTTTGAGAAGCCCAATGATTGGCGATTGTTCTTACGCTCGGCGACCGAACGAGACGGCGGCCTTTACGAGTGTCAAGTCAGTGCTCATCCTCCATTAATCAGAACTGTCCATCTGGCGGTGTCAGGTGAGTAAATGTGTCTTTGTGAGCGCGTATATTTGCCCGCATCCAGTTGTCACGGCTCGAAGTGCAATCGCGGGCTCCAATTTCTAGCCAGCCGTCCTAGAATACATATATGCTCTTTGATCTGACTATTTCGTGTGCCACCGATAAATCAGACCGCACGGACAGTGGTCAAAGCGAGAGAGAGAGCTCGCGATAGGTCTCTACTAATCAACCGTAACGTGAATTTGACGGGGACCATGGTGATTATCGGTTCCGCTGTTTTTCGCGCGTGGATAATGGAAGCTCGTTGGTGTGTGTGGTCGCGTGACGTTGGTCATTTTCACGGATCAACATAAATCGTTTACCATGGAACCGTAATATGCAATCTATCCCGTCGAACGTAACACTAAAATGCAAGGTGTTATTATCCGCGAACAAATAGAAGAAAACTGAAACGTTTTTGGAAACTCAAAGGCTAGATTGGGCTGACGCGTATTTACTATTTCTCAGTTTTAATGGCGCTTTGTGGGGTAATTGGTTGTGAATAGTTAGGAGGAGGTAAAATCGACGAAAAACAAATATCATTAAGGTAGACGGAGATAAACCTACGTAGAAACAATGAGTAATGGACGGACTCGTTAGCAAACTCGTATTCGCAAGAAATATTCGCGAAGCGCCCTCCTTCGATTCCGATGAAACTTTGCCAAAACAAACAGTATAGTAAGTTTCAGGGTTGAGATTACTTTCTCAAGTTGCACCCTAAATTCTCTGTCAAAAATTATTGCATATACGGGGGAACTTTTTCAACAAATTCTAATACGTATAACAACCAATAAAAAAATTAATAAGAAATTAAAACTTTTATTTAGAGAAGCAGAGTAAATTTTTTAATATTCAGAAACATATCGTGTGTATTTAAATATTAATAGAATTTATGGGTAGTTATAACTTGAGCATAAAGATTCGTAATGGTGATATTTCTGATATTTTGGGTCGACGAGTAGAATTTGTTACAAACCAGGTGAAATTGTTGGTTTTTATTTCATCAATGGCCTCAAATTCATGAATAGTAGCGTTCGAGATTTGTCAGAATCAAACCACGAAATTTTAAAAGAGGAATTTCTGTAGAGGAAAATACCTAATTCTTCGCGTTATAATACTGGTGAATAGATAGTCACGTAGGGCCCATGTCTCTTCACAAACCGTTCGCAGATAAGAGCATATGGAGCATTATATTCCACGTTACAACGTTCCCAGTGTCCACAGACTTAATTATTACAAGCTTTCATAGCACCGGTGTAAGTTTAACCCATATCGTCGAAATTATATGTCTCTTAAACGCTGCTAAATTCGCCGACTAAAATACCCACAAATTTCTGGTCGATTTAATCTCACCCGACCTTTGGTTTAATGTAATTACACGTCACTCGTTAAAATCGCATAATTTCGAGAACACCGAATGAAATTTGTCAGAACATGCACCATATTCATGGGACCAATCTAATACCATACTCATTGTTTTATTATCACCTTACACCTCATTTTTCTTATTTTCGTACCTATTATTCGTTTCCCCTGAAGTCGATTTCGGTGATCGAATTGTACAAAAATTTATGTTCTTGACTTACTCTAAAAAATATAAAAAGCTGTAATTGTAATGTTTGTTTCTTTTGTTTTAGCCTTGAGATCTGATTGAATGGTGTCAATTGGTGTCGATAATCCCGAAGCATTCACGAGACAGATACGACACGAGAATGACAATTAAGAATTATTCGTTTTGGTTCCATCATTACTGAGGCGGTTAATGAAACTCGCGTTGAACTTCGTAAACGGTTGCATATTAATCCCCCGTCGAGTAAATCTCGCCGAAGGTACGGTGACAAAAACCAGCCTCATTATTCTCTTAATCTGACCCGGCGAAGTATCTCGGGAAAGTTGGTTCGTTGATACATAATCCACGCGTTCCAACGGAGCATTTTCGCTGGACCATAAATCACGATGGCTCGCGTCGTTAGGGTCATCCTTGTCGCGGCATAATGGTGATCTTGGTGCTGTAACGATGTCCTTGTGGCACTCTGCTCTCCGCGTACGTACACCCCTTAATTGGAACCCCCTCCTGCCCCCCTTCTCGTTGCATCTCTTTCGATCCAGCGAGCCCTCCGCGTTTCACTCTCGTTGTTTCTTTCCCTTTATCGGTTTACACGCCACACGCATTTTCATTTCGTCGATACGGCACGGATTTGCCGATACATTGGCGGCTTTATGGTCGCGTCTGCCAGCAAAAAGTATAATAACCTATCCACGTGGATTGATTATGTAGTGGGTGTTCGCGTTATTCGTGTTTGGGATTTCTCTTTGACGCGAACGACGTAATAAAATCGAAGAAACAGAGCCACGTGGCTCTTAAGAGGCGTATCATTTTATTTATTACCAATACTGTTGATATTGGTGAATTCAACAAAACTTATTGTTGGTATTACTGGTAAAACAGTGATTGATTGCTAAAAAAACGAAAGAAGATTTTGCGTCGATCGATGATTGGAAATTCAAACTAGGAGTACGACTGTACTTTGTCTCGACTCTCGAATTTTCTCAATTTGAGTATTAATTTCATCTTTTCTTATTTTTCTCTATATAATAATTTTTGTTTATTTCTTAACTCACATTTTTGGGGTCGTCAAATCCCTATACGTAATAAACGCTCGAGTCAATCAGTCAGAATAATAAATAAACTTTCTACAATTAGGAAACTTACAAGTTTTAAATAGTTTAAATTACATAGTTTGTACTAAATAGTTAATGTAAAACCGATACTCTCTGACTCTACTCCCATCTGTATCAACTGCGGACAATCTGTAGTAGAGACAAACTTGGCGCCATGATTATAGAGCATGCCAAATATACACGGTCGCTTGAAAGTTTGCACCACTCTTTGGTCTTTAAAAAAAATTAATTTTCTTTAAAGAAGTAAATACCTGTTTATTGATATTAACAATTCCTTAATGAAGAAAGACTACTGTGTTTACAAAATGCTATCAACATTAAAAGAAATATATAATGATCTTAGACTTTCGTACAAAAATTTTTCTAAATTTTGGTTTATTTTTAGTCAAGTGATGTCTTTTTAATATTAATTGGAACAATCTTCGATGAGATAACTACGCTCGTGTGGAAATGTTTCATTTCTATAATGATCGATAAGGTGCTTGAAATTTTTTCACGGCAGTGTATAACAGTACTTTTTAAACGTCTCATCCTCTTGTCGAATAGAATTCAAAGAGATAAAAGATAATTGGAATGCGATCAAAGTACAATAGAAGACGATCTTTATAAGTCTTCATCGACCCAGATGCGATTCTTCCGCGATAGTTCTGGGGAACCAATGGCGTATCCAAAGGGAGGGAGTTCACAGTAGCAATTGCATCCCCACTCTCAAATTTTGTTATACGTAACAAGGGCAGAATTTTAAACGAGGATACTTTATCGTATTTAACAGCAGGTTGTAAATTTATCTCCAAACGAACGAAGTTAAAATTATTTCCTCCTGTTGAAATAACATTCCACCATCCCTTATGAATATTCGTCATTCGAGTGAAATATAGAATCATGCCAATAATTTAATACAAATTACTAAAATAATCATGCTCTATAATGATAAGTCCAAGTCTCAATTTTGTAACGTCGTTGTTATTGTATTTTACATTGAAATTAAAAAGTAAGGGCAACACAAATATATTATCACGTTTTATTTCATAAATTAATATTGAATTTTCTTTGTCTTTTTCGATAATGTTTTGTATGGTATGGGAAAGTGTTGTGACGAGTTCGTTCAAGTTAATCTTTGGTTACCTTTTTCGAAATTCCTGGGTGCATTGGTCGCGTGGGTATATTTTTTGTTGCACCCTGTATAAGAGTCGCGGGTGTAGGATCCACCGACGTATGTCGTAAACCGGCAGTTTACGGTGCCAACGGCTCATACGCGATCGGTTGAATACTGCTACAAAGGGGTAATATCTCGTTGCAAGTCGGCCATTAAACTTCGCGTCTTCGTAGTCGAGGTTAATATTCCTCGACCTCGTTTCACTTCCTTCTTCGTCCCGGGTTCTCTTACCGCCAACCGCTCGAATTCTCGACATATGAAATTGTTTCTCATTGCAGTCTTAACGCTAAATCCACTCATTTTCTCCCGTGATTCCAACCACCATCGAACAGACACGTCTCTTCCAGAATCAACCGAAGTTATAAATTTATTATCTCAAACTGTTGAATGCAATTTAATCGGTGAATCAGTAGGACATCGATTATAGTTTACAAGCTTAATTTCTTTATTTTTTTGGACAAAACGAAGGAATATTTTTGTGTGTTATTTAGATTTTCCAGAATTTTGATACAATAATGACGCTTTTTTCAATAATAAAACAAGATAAATTTTCTAACTATTATAGCTTTGTCCTGTCCTTTGAAGTAACATATCTCTATATTTATTTTTACTTTCCCAAGTCGTATCCTTTCTTTTATATTCGACTTTTCGCCTAAAATACGAACAACTCCCGTAACTCGTTCATAAACGAAACATTTAAAGGAATCATTAATGACCAGATAGAGCCGTTTTACAGGAATTTTTTCATATTATTCCGCAATGTGGTCCCCTCGGGTCTCGTTGGAATAATACGGATCCCTGTCAAGGGAGACGCCATTATGAGGCTCGTGTCCCTACAGGGCAGTTTCAGCGGACCAGATCGGCACGTATCGTCGCGTAATGAATCAGGTTTTATAATTTTCGAAACCGCGAACACTCGCCTCTTAACGCGTTCCCGTGGAGATGAATTTTTCAGGCGAACGGTGACTTCTTTGCTCGCCTCGGTCGCGGGGAGAAAAACTTCTTTGCAAAAGTACGAGTTCGGATAGCTCGAGCGAGGATGCGCTCGGTGAGAACGCGTGTTTGCATAAAAGCACCCCATTTCACTTTGTCGTATCCGAATGCATACGCGTTCTCAAGGGAACAACGTAATGCATTCCGG